ATGGTTCTTTTATATACCAGAGAATTTTTATGCAGTAATGATGAAAAGACCAGCACTGAGTAGGATCTTTGAAATACAAACAAAGGAGACAAAAGAAACCTAGAAAGACAAATGCATATGAGAAATTAAAAGGGACTAAATGATGACAAAGTGCTTGCATTCAAATAAGGAAGATAACACAAGTGTCTCATCAAAATACTGTCTTCTAGAGTGACAGAGGGAGTAAAATAAGACAAATACAGGTCCTGGATGTGGTTTTGTTCTGTATTACAAGTTTTTAGGGAGGAAAAGTGGCATATGCTAGAGAAGAAATTGTGAAGAAGCAGGGAGTACTACCTTGCAAAACTAGGGTGCACATGAAGAGTATAAAATTCTTTTGGGATGGAGGGAAAGACATTTCATGATTCACTCATCTGAATCTGGAAAAGAAAGGTTGAACACACAAATGCAAAGTGTTTAATATAGAAATACATTGAATTTGGTAAGGAAACAGGCAAGAACAGGGAAAGGGAACATTTAAGATGGGGGTAGAGTCAAAGATGGAATATTCAGAAGGAAAACCAAACTTTAACTTTGCAAAATGATTCATAGAGGCAGAAAGGATCATAAAGAACCAATCACCACAAACAAAATAAAAAATAAAATTAGTTAATGCACAAGGGGATTAGAGAAGAAGGAAAGGTCTAAATCTAGAATTTCTTCTTCATTAGGGATGGAGGAATGGAATCTGATTACTTCAAATATAGGTTTCTAGTACTGAGAATAGTCCATATATTTCGTCACCTTTTTCTTTGTAAAGAAGTAGGAAACAATAATATAATAAAATAGGAGAGAGGGAAATGCACAGTTGTTTATATGCCAATGGAAGAGTAGAAACATGTGTCCTCTTATAACTCTAATGTCATCAAGGATCATAAAGAAAGTTAAATAAGATAAGCAGAGGGCCTGGGATGGGGCAGGTTTCCTCTGTTTTGATGATCTTAGGAGAAGAATAAAATGGGAAGAGGATGAAAGGGAACTCGATGTCTTATAACAATGGTACATAAGATGAAGAGTAAACAAGATGGAAGAAGGACAGAAGGAATGAACCTCATTTTCATCTGAACCAGATAATGGAAGGTTGAACAAACACAGATGTGTGATGTAGAAATACGAAAGGGAACTAAGTGGGGAAAATTAAAGAGAAGAGAGAGGGCAAGACAGGTGATGGAGTAGTCAGAGGCAAAGCAAACTAAAGTTGGAGGGGGAAATGAGAAAAGAGAATTTGAAGTGGAAGTGGAACCAAGATCACAGGGTGGTAAGAAGCAATGTGGTGAGCATCTTTCTAAAAACTTCCTCTAAACATTTTAGAAAATGCACCAGACTGAATCCTGATGGAGAAATTCTGAAAAAGAAAAAAAGGTACACTAAGTTATTTTTCTAGCCCAGCTCAAAATAGGGAGATAGAGAAGTATGCAGATACTGGGGATGGGTCAGGCCAGGCCTAGCATGGAGCAAGAGGGCAAGAAGAGATCCCAGACTCATTCTGGGGTACTTCTAACCCAACCTGCTGCAAAAATGACAATTATTAGTTGGCAACTTTGTAACTCACTACCCAGTTCAGGGTCACAAATCCAAGGCAGAGTCAGAAAGGGACCTAAGCAGTTCACTGGTATTTGGGGGTAGGGAGGTCCAGAGTGATATACTAAGAAATTGTGGCTCAGACCCCAAACTCAGAGCAGGGTCTCACTTTTTGCCTCTAGCCCAGCCTAGAGCAGGAATCACTGACCAAAGGAGAATCTATACTTCTGTCACTCTGAACCAATAGAGCTTCCCACTGGCTGATATAGGCAGAGGCCAGCAGTGTCTGCTCTTTCAGAGGCCCAAACCCAGGTACAAACTTGCAGAGCTCACATCAGAAGGGATGGGTCAGCAAGCAGACTTTGCCCTGGATCAGATCACTATAGAAGTACTCAAAGGTTGCAGATCCCCAATCTGTCCATGAGATACTAGAATGACACAAAATTCAATACCCAAAAAGAAGCAACAGGACCAGCCCAGATCTTCCCTCTAGAAGTGCCACAGAGCTTAGCCTACTACCAAGTCCAAAGACAGGAATACTTGGGGAGGGATGGTGATAGAAGGGAATGGTAGGGGAAATTATCTCACATAATCGGAGCACAAGTAGACACTGGAGTAGAGAGGAGTGGTCAACATTTGGACCTCAGTCTCAAATAAACTCTCAAAAGAAGGAAGGAGAGAGAAAGAGAGACACAGAGAGAGAGAGAGCTGAGTAAATAAATACATTTCATTCATTAGGGAAATGGGAGGAAAAGAGGGAAAGAGGAGAGAGAGGAATTAGAGGGAAATTAGATTAAAGGATAAATTAGTCCTAAGCAAAACTAAGGACATACAAACATAATTATAGTTCTTTTTGAGGTGGCAAATGGAAATCTAAGGGGATAACCTATAAATTGGGCAATGGATAAATAAGTTATTGCAGATAACTATAATGGAATACTATTTTGCTGAACTATTATCAACATATTGACCAAACAGGATTCCAGATGACTAATAAGGAAATAGGCTATCCGCTTTCAACTCCTTAAGAGGTAATTCAAAAGAAAAAAAAATAGAGTAAAAATATATCATCAGGAATAGCGCAAGGGAAAGAGAAGTAGGACAACAGAATGGGAAAAGATTGCTTTAAGTATAGAAAACTATCATTAGGCAAACTCTTCTTTCACTATCTTCTTTTTTATAAAAAGGACAGAGACAAGAGAAACAAAAATGCAAGAGGGCAAGATGGAGGCACATACATAATTAACAGTCATAACCATGAACGTGAATGGGATGAACTCATCCAAAAAATGGAAGAGAATAGCAGAATGCAATGGGAAACAAGAGTCCAACAATATATTGTTTTCAAGAAACACACTCAAAATATAGAGATCCACATGGACTTAAAAGCAAGATACTAGAACATAATCTGTTATGCTTTAAATGAACTCAAGGGGACAGAAAGGAATTTACATGTTTTTCAACCACATAACTCACCTTTACAAAAACTCTGCTGAAAGACACAGAGAGGGAGAGAGAGACTGAGAGAGAGAAATGCAAAAAAGGGACATTCTTTTGTAAATTTCTCAACCAAAGCCATTTGTAGCGAATTTACAAGGTTTAAGAAAAAAGAAAAATTCCATACTTACAATCAAACATAGTTACAGAGACCAAGTAAAGTTCAAGGTTTTGATTCACAAACAGAATAATAGTCACTTAAGATGTGTGCCTTTGAGAATTCGTCTTCCTAAATCATTTGATCCAGTCAAGGGTGGAGATAGATAATAACTTTAATTTACTTAAGGTGGTCCTATTCTAGTCGTAGTTAACCCTCCAAACACATTTTTCTCTCTGAAAAATTGTTAGTCCTTTGATAAGAATGATGCAAAAGGATTTCAATGCAGAATATTACTTGTGAACTGATGGTTGAAAACTGCTAATGTTGTTCATTCAGGGCAATCAAGGACTTCAGACTAAATTATGTATTGTCCTAAGACTATTTTGTAGTATGTAGCCTACAGAGAAAAAGTGTGTGAGGAAGGATGGAAGTCATCAGTCTGCTTCCACACTATTATGTTTACCTGAGACATCGATGACCCACAGTTTATATCCTTATTTGCTTTATATCCTCATATCACATCTTTTCCACTCATAGCTTACAGTCAACTAAAAATCCTAGTTTTTCTTCCTCAAAGACATTAAGACATATATCATTCCCCATTCCATACATCACCCAGTCAGTGAGTAAGTCAACAAGCATTTATCAAGTGCTTACTATGTGGAGGCATTGTGTTAAGTTCTGGAAATCCAAACAGAAGCCAAAAGAAAGACAGTCTCTGCCCTCCTGGAGCTTAAATTCTAGTAAAGAAGAAAACACATAAAAAGAAGCTAAAAACCAGATGAGGAGAGGGAGAAGATGGAGGGAGAATGATGAAGAAATCCAGAGGAATGCCATCTGGTGGGAAATGATAGGATAGCTGGCCAGAACCCCCTCTTTAAGTAGAGATTCTGGGAGGAGCCCTCCATCTTCTGTTTTGAGGCAGAAGCCCCAGGGGCAGATGATTCTGAAGAGGTTTAAGTTCCAGGGTTGATGCAGTTTTCCAGGATGAAGAAATTCCTGAGGCCTGATGGAGAACACCAGGGGAATGCCACCAGGTGGGAAATTATGAGATATTTGGTCTGCTCCCCACCTTCTAGTTATACAATTCTACAATAATCAATAACAATAAAACTAAGTCCAAGACCTTATATTTATTTCTTTTTGATTTTAGCTTGTCAGATTTATCCCACTATTCCAGCCTCTCAAGACTTTTCAGGATCCTAACCCAGCACACTAGTGTAGGGATGATTTGTGGGGCTGGACTATGCTGTTTTGCCCATAAAGGTTCTATGTGTCCATACAGGTCTGTCTAGAGGTGGCTTACAGGGAGATTGGAATAGACATCTCTAGTATCTCCCATACCACCTTTCTCCAAGAGAGACTTTGACCCTTGACAGGAAAGGAAGCCGGCAGTTGAGGCCAAAGGTTGACCACTCTACTCTCCTCTGAGGAGGGGGTACTAGGCAAGACATATCTCTATGCTCCTCAAATTTTGTTAGTCTAGTAAAAAAAAAAACTTTAGGTTACACTCCTGATTGTCAGTCCTACACTGAATACATGTAGCAAGTAGTAAGCAAACCCACTTATTCAAGTTGATTCCAAAGTAGAAATCAGAGAAAGCATACATATGAGAATATATACCAAAGGTTATAGAAAGTATACATTTGAGGATATCTATCAAGCAATACACATAATACAAGAGTGAATGAACTCTCTAGTTGGGAATGAAAAAACAGATCAACCGAGAGACAGAGACACAGAGAGAGACAGAGACAGGAGAGATAAGGGAGGGAGGGAGGGAGGAAGGGAAAGAAGGGGACAGAGAGAAAAAGAGAGAAAAAGACTCAATCTCAAATCTCACTCAAGGAGACATTCCCCAAAGTCTCTGGTGTGTAGTAAGCTGGAAAGAGGGACATAATCAAAATGCTGGCCTCTCGTCAGCCTCCCCTCCGGTATCTCAAGAGCAACTGGAATGCTGTTATAACTTTAAACTTTAGACTGTTTGAGGTTATTGTCTGGTTGTAGTTTGATGTCACATAATGAGATGATTCCAATATGGAACAGCTCAGGTAAATAGCCTTAATGTTCACAGAATAGGAATAAGGCTTGGAGCTTTTTGATTGGATGAACTCTTGGCATACCAGGCAGGGGCCTTGAGCCATTCTCCTTTTGCTGCCTTAGTTAACAATATACCCTCTCACCAGTCTGTGGTCCTGATAAAGTCTCCCTACCCAAGGCTGATATCAATAAGAAATCCTAAGAACTTTTCTATCACATCTGGGCCTAATGCTTTCTACTCCATTTGGCACCAGTAATCAATTCTCAACCAAGCCCTTTTTCAGAGTGTATAGTCTTGTCACTTGAAACCTAACTTTGAGCCTCTTTCCTGCCCAATACATCCACCTCATCCTCAGGCTGGGGTGAGTTTTTTGCACAGGGGATAAATCTCTGTCTGCCTATGTTGCCATAAAGTATGTATGTATATGCTTTGCTTGTTTACTTGTCATATGACAATAAATGTTATTATTGTATCATTTCTCTGACTACCAATTTTCCAGAAATCCTGAGCCCAGGTTTTGCTTTAATCCAAGTCTTGAAAGACCAAATAAAGCAAATATCACCTTTTATTTCTCTAAGCCAGGGACCCTTCTGTCTCTTCTCTCCAACTCCCACCGACTCAGCCCCTCAACTGACAGTCATCAATCTCCATCAACGAGCATACTCCCACGCAACTAGCCTTTTGAGCCCAGTGTCACAGTGGCTACCCCTCCTGCCTCTTGGTCATAAAAAAAAAAAAATTTATAAACTTGCTTTCTGTTTCTTCGTACAAGTAATTGCTTAAAAAAATTTTAATAAGATAGAGCTAAGAAGAAAACATTGTGGTATGATAAGACCCGATAAAACTACATGTTAGCGTTGATTCATTAATTAATATTCTTTGTACATGAGCATTCAACTAACTATAAATATGTTTCAATGGGTTTACAATCTAGTAAAGGGTGAGATAATAAGCAGCTATAATAACAATAGTAACACTTTCCACTTACGTAATATTTTAAAGTTTGCTTTATACACACAAACTTAATTGATCTTCATAATAACAGCCCTTCAAAGTAGCAGCAAACATTATTTCTTTATTTAGCTCCATTTATCGTGTAGCTCCATTTTTACAGATGAGGAAATTGAAGATCAGAGAGGTTAGATAGTCATTTCAACATTAAGTATAACAGGAAGCCACCTTGAATAGATGGCTTGAATGGCTTGAATAGTTGGCTCTCTTTTGGCCTTTAAAACATCCTACCTTCTTATAGTTGGGAAGTTATTGTAATGTAGTGGATAGAGTTTTGCACTCAGTTAAGGAGAGATTTAGGTTCCAATTCTGTCTTCCTATCTGACAAGAACTTCTGGGGGGAAAAACTGGAAAGCAATTTGGCAGAAATGTGTTTTATACCGACATCTTACACTATATGCTAAAAAAAAAAAAAGTGATCTGAATATAAAACAGTCATCTCATTAAAAAAAAGAAAATAATCAAGAACAAAGATATTTCACAACTGTGAGTAGGGCTAATTTTATTTTTGTTTTATTGGCTCTCTGAATTTCACTCAGGCTGGAAATGCAGCAACCAACTCATCAACATGATCCCAATGTGGATTGGAAAAGCTTTAACCAGCTTCTTTTTATCTTGCCTGGATCAGTTCTCCCATCCTACTTCCAGGGATTTGTTATATCGGTGCTATGTTTAGCATGGACCCTAATTGGCTTTGGTCCTACTATAGCTTAGAACTTCCAAACTCAAGCAACCCATCAGCCTATATCTTGCCAGGGACTATACAGGCACACACCCCATCCCTGGAAAGGGCTAAAATTTTTAACCAAAGAAATTAAGAAATCACAAAAATTAAAATACATAATTTCAATCACATGTAACTAAAAAGCTCTTGCAAAAACAAAATCAATGCAGCTAGAGTAAAAGGCAAGCTGCCAACTTCAAGGTAGAAGGGAAGCATTTCATCAAACATCTATGATAAGGATCTGATACCCAGCAGGGAATCAAGAGAAATATACAAGACAAGTCACTTAGTGGTGGATAAGTCATCAAAGGATGTGATCAAATAGTCTGCAAAAGAATAAATCCAAGCTATTAACAACTATGTGATCGATGTCTCTAAATCATTAATAATAAGGGAAATGAAAATCAAAAAATTTAGCCTTTCTCTTCACACTTGTAAAATTGGCAAAAAGGACAAAAGGTAGAAACAGTCAATGTTAGAGGGGGTGAAAGAAGATGAATACAATAATATTGTGAAATCCAAATATTCTGGAGAACAATTTGAAATTACACTTTAAAAAAGTAATTAAAATGTCCATCTCCTTTGGCCTAGAGATCCCATTGCTAGACATATACCTCCAAAGTGGTCAGAATCAGAAAGAAATGTCCTAAACATATCCAAGGCTGCACTTTTGTGGTAGCAAATAACTGGAAATAAAGTAGTACCCCAACAACCGAAGAATGGTTAAACCAGCTGTGGTACATAAATATTTCCATGCCATGAGAAACAAGAATTAAAAAGATTTCAGAGAATCATGGGGAGACTTTTATGAATTGATTCAGAGACAAGTAACCAGAACTAGAAAAAAAATGCACAAAGGCTGCAGCTATATAAATAGAAACAACAACAAAAATTAAATTAAATTTTAAAAAATCATACAAAACTGAACATCATAATGACCATCTTGTCCTAGAGAAGATGTGATAAAATATTATCTCCTTTCCCTTTTTGGGGGAATGAGTGTGGAAAATGTTATATGCTATCAGACACAGTCAATGGGTTGGTTACTCGTGCTGACTTTTTTTTAATTCTTGTTACAGAGGATGAGTTACTGGTTAGTGGAGAGGGAATGGTTACATTAGAAATAATGATAATAATAATAGCAGCCTGCACTTATATAGGGCTTTAAGGTTTGTAAAGTGCTTCACAAATACTTTCTCACATTATCCTTGGAGATAGGTAACATTATTATCCTCATTTTATGGATGAGGAAACTGAGGCAGATGGAAATTAAGTGACCTATCAGTGTCATACAACTAGTAAGAGCCTGAGGCCAGGTTGGAACTTGGGTCTTCCCAATGCCAGATCAGTCAGTTCCTATCCACTATACCACCTAGTTTCCCATTAAAAAAATCAATGTACCATTTTTTAAAAAAAGAAAGAAAACGCAAATATATACACATATATTTATTAAAATAAAAGAAATATTAATAATAAAATCAATTTTAGAATAATTTTATAGAATTTATGATTTACAGAATATACTTTTAAAAAAATCAAAATAACATTTGCCTTTTTTCCAGTCTTCTAGTGATTTCTTTTTTTTTTTTTTTTGCTTTTTAGTGAGGCAATTGGGATTAAGGGACTTGCCTACACAACAAGTGAGTGTCAAGTGTCTCAGGTCCTCCTGACGCCAAGGCCAGAGCTCTACCCACTGCACCACCTAGCTGCCCCTAGTGATGTTCTTTTTCTTCCTAATACCTCAAATCATTGACATAACTGCAAGTTTTTTCAGAATTATTTAAGATACACAGATGCAAATTAAACTCAAAATAATTTAGGGAAGTAATCAATTATCAGGAGAATCTAGAAAGGCCTCACGTAGGTAGTGATATGAGCTGGAAAGTGATAAGGTCAGCCAAGAGCTTTAGGAACATTATGGCAGCTATGTGGAGAAGGGTTAGAGAGAGTAAAGATTTGAGTCTGGGCACCAATCAATGGGCTATTGTAATAAGTCAGACCTAATCAGATTTAGGACTGAACTAGGGCATGATCATGTGATGAATGACTCCATTAGAGTCGATTGTATCACCAAAGGGGGAGTAGATTAGAGAGAAGAGGGTCCAGGATTGAAGCTGGGCATCTAGTGTATTGAAGCCAGTTGGATCCTGCTCGTTAGAGCAAATGGTTAGAGTTTCATTGTATTTCTACCCTGGAAATCAGGAAATGCTACAAATCAGGACTTGATTTACTGTTTTGTTGAATGTTCAAACTTAAGAAAGTCATGGAGAAAATGTGAATTACACAGATTAAAATTTAAAATATGAATACGTTTTTTTCCTCCCAGAGAGTTGCCTGCTATACATTTACCAGCACACTTCTAGGGGATACCCACAGTTAAGAGGTGATTTATATTTGATGGTCTAAAAGCAGATCAAGAACACTCAGTCAGGCAGACAGGAGTAGGGCCAAGAAGGAAGGACTTATCAAGCACCTTCCATGGGCCAGGCTTTATGTCAAATGCTTTACAGATATTCTTGTGGCTGTTCGTACCTTCATGCTCGAAGAGTACGACAACATCATGAAAGCGATGTCCCGACTCGGAAGTGAATTGGATTTAAGCGCAGCAGGGCTGTGCAAAGTCATCAGCCTCACTCTCTCCTCCAGGATCATGGGAGTCCAGGGGCAAGACATGGGTCCGTAGGTAATGACGACTGGCTGTGACCCCGGAGACCATGACCTTTTTTAAGCTCAGGACTTTCCCAGGTCTCAGTTTATTGAATGCCCATCCAACAAATAAAGAGTTAAGGCAAAAGATGGCCTAGTCTGCCTTCACAAAAAGAAGCCATCTAGGAAGGGAAGACTCTCAGAGTTTCTAGACAGAACAGAACCATCCAAACGCAAACAATGAGCAAGTAAGGCTACAAATATTACCTCATTTCATCCTTGTTACCACCCTGATTGCGGTGTACTATTATTATGCCCGTTTTACAACTGAAGAAATTGAGTCAGGCAGAGATTAAGTGACTTGCTCAGGGTCACACTGCTAGTTAAGTGTCAGAGGTCAAATTTGAACTCAGATATTCCTGACTCCAGACCCAGTACTTAGGCCACTGTACCACTTAGCTGCCAAGCTGTCCTGTGAAAACCCAGAGCAGAGAGAGTAAACCAAAAGAGGGGTTGTTCAAGGCATAGAATGCTGTGAAGAAGTCA